TTATGATGTTGTTTAGGTTATTATGGATATACTGACAAAATCTGCTCACTTTGTTCCGATTAGGATGGATTATCCGATGGAAATTTTTGCTAAGTTGTATATTGAAAAAGGTTGTAAGTTTGCACGATGTTCCGTCGATTATTGTTTCCAATAGAGATCTGAGGTTTCCTTTGAATTTTTGGGATGGTTTACAAAGTGCTTTGGGTACGAAGTTGCATTTGAGTTCGGCGTATCATCCATAAACAGATAGTCAGACTGAGAGGACGATTCAGTCACTTGAGGATCTTTTGAGAGCTTGTGTTTTGGAACAAGGAGGTGCTTGGGATAATTACTTACATTTGGTTGAGTTTAATTATAATAACATTTTCCATTCAATTATTAGAATGACACCGTTTGAGGCTTTGTATGGATGGAGGTGTAAGACGCCTTTATGTTGGTATGAATCTAGTGAGAGTGTTATGGTTGGACCTGAGATAGTTCAACAGACTACAAACAAGATTAAGATGATTCAAGAAAAGATGAATATTTCTCAGAGTCGTCAGAAGAGTTATCATGATAAGAGGAGGAAGGCGCTTGAGTTTGAGAAGGATGATCATGTATTTCTAAGGGTTACTCCGGTAACTGGTGTTGGTAGAGCTTCGAAGTTGCATAAGTTGACCCCACATTTTATTGGTCCTAATCATATTTCTGAGAAAGTGGGTGAAGTGGCATATAAGACTGCTTTGCCGCCGTCACTTGCTAATCTCCATGATGTGTTATATGTGTCTCAGTTGAGGAAATACATTGTGGATCTGTCTCATGTTGTCCAATTAGATGATGTGCAAGTAAGAGATAATTTGACTGTTGAGACATCGCGTATACGGATAGAGGATAGAGAAGTGAAGAAACTCAGAGGTAAAGAGATCGCTTTGGTAAAAGTGGTTTGGGGAGGACCGGCAGATGGTAATGTGACAAGATTTGTATCCCGAGTTGTTCGTTTGAGGTAATTTTCGAGAACAAAAATCTTTTAAGTGGGGGAGAGTTGTAACACCCTGATTTTTATTTGCTATAATTTAATTATTTTATTAATTATTATATTATATAGTAATTGATTTAATTGTGTAATTTGGTGAATATTTGAATTATTTGAATATATGTGTTATTTGAATAATAGGAGTTATAAGTAAAAATAGTAAATAATTAAAATTTGGCTTTATGTCATAATAGAATGGGTGAGTGGAATTAGGCCCATTAATTAAATAAGTAGTAAGAAGAGGAAAATAGAGATTAGATGTTATAATTGTAAGAAGAGAAAAGAAGAGAAGATAAGGGAAGAGGAGAAAAGAGGAAAAGTGAATAGGCAACCCTAAAGACTATACACTCAATGTGAGGGTGAGACTCTATGTTATAATGGGAGTATATAATGGGTAGTAACATGTAATAGAATTAGGTATGTGAATTTATAGGTTTTGAATCACCCAAATTGATTTAGGGATTTGGAAATTAGGTTTTTGAAATCTAGTTTTTATGATATAATTAGGTTCCCTATGATTTATACATGTCAGAATATGTTTATTTGATAAAAAATGGGCATTAGAACATGTCTCAATGTGGATTTTCGTGTATGGACAAAATGTTGTTTGCATAAATTTTTTTGGTTTTCACAGGGGGCGCTTAGTGCAGGTGGCTGCAAGTTGAAAATTAATTTTATGCATGAATGTGATTGAAATCTTGTATGTTATTATTTATCATGTATTTACATGCATTTTAATAATTTATTTGACTTGATTCAGATTGGTTTTGGAAGCATTTTGATGAAAAACTTAACACTTGAATTGTGTATGTAAGTGTTGGAATTTGATGATGTTCGAATATAGCATGATTTGTGTCTAATTGCTACATGTTATAATAACGTGTTGAGATGATTTATACTATGAGATTATGTATATGTGATTGATTGGCATGAAAGATGTATGTTGTGCAATATTGTGAAGATAATTCAAAATATGTTGAATTATGTGATGAGTTGTTGAGATTGCACATGTACATGCATCATTTGTGTCAAGAGGAAATGTTTGGTAATTTCGTGAGAACTATTGACTTGTATGCATATCAGACATTTTGCATACATCCAAACATCTCAATATCAGACATCATATGCATATATCATACAACAAATAAATAGTCTCACCCTCGATTTAACTATCTAAGGGTCAACCAACAAAACACTTCTCCTACGGTTCAACCCGTCACCTAAGTCTTCATGATGTGCCACGTTCAACCCATCACATAAGTCTTCCTGCAGTGGTGAGTTCCTTACAAAACCAGGTCATCGCCTCAGACTTCAGGCAGCGATGCTCAAAAATACAGAATTTAGCTTATCGCCTCAGACTTCACGCGGCGCTTTGCGAACCTAACACATTGCCTAAGACTTCATGCAACGACGCGTTTCCTTATTCCAAGACACAGACCATCGCCTAAGACTTCATGCAGCAATGTCCGAAAACCAAATCTAGCTTACCGTCTCAGACTTCACGCAGTGATTTACAATTTAAGCTCATTGCCTAAGACTTCATGCAGCAATGCATTTCTTTATTCCGTAACACCGATCATCGCTTCAGACTTCATGATGCGATGCTTGAAAGAAAACAAAACTTTAGCTTATCTCCTCAGACTTCAAGAAGAGATTTACAAGTTTAAGCTCATTGCCTAAAAACTTCATATAACAATGTATTTCTTTATTCCGTAACACCGATCATCGCCTCAGAATTCATGTTGTGATGCTCGAAAGAAAACAAAACTCTAGCCCATCGCCTCAGACGTCATGCAGCGACTCACGGACATAACCAATGGCCTCAGTCTTCAAGAAGCCATGCATCATAAATTATTATTGTATTCATCCTCCATGGGGGTGAATAATCAAAACCAAACCAAGATATACAAAATTGCGCTCTTATGCTTAGAACCATCTGCCTCATTATCAAACTCTGGTAAGCGATACATCATCAGCTTTGCCTACTTCCTTGAGACTCGTAAGGGTATGCTATATCAGTGTAACCTTATGTTTGTCGGACAAATTTTGGGGTATTCCAAGTATTCACTCGTGTTTTCTCAGAATGCGCAACACTCGTGTTTTCTCACGCTATTCGATTGGAAGATAATTGAATAGGGGCAGCTGTCGTACCCCGAAATTGTCCTACCTCGATGATTTTATTTTTTGAGATTGAAATAGAAGAAATATTTAATTAAAGATGGTACAACAATATCTGATGGCCTATCTTTATCCAAAACTGGGGGTGTATTGTAATGGGGCTTTCTAAATCGAAAAGACTCATAAACCCGCTCACGAGACATGTTGGCCAATGGCCCATGCAATTCGAAAATAAAAAAAGCATCCGAGTAATTAATAAATTATTAGTTTATTAAAACTACTTAGGTTTAATTTACTATTAATTTAAAGTTAAGTATCTAAGCCCATTTACATTTAAGTGGTTGTTAGTAAAATGGGAGGTGAAATTTCAATAAAGGGCCCGTTGTGTTTGGCACATCTCTTTTGGGGTTTGAATAACAAGGTAAGATTACAAACTGAAAGCCCATTTGATGTTTCTGTTTTTGTTTTAAAAGAGAAGCATTATTATTAAAAAAATAAATTCATTGAAGCTGACCCATTTTCGTCTTAGTAGTTAAATAGCAGAGGAGAGGGTGTGATCATTAAATTGTAGGCCCATTATATTAGATGATGTCTTGTTTAGAATAAGAATAGCAATATTATTATTAAGATTATTGTTTTAATGGAAAAAAGATATATAAAAGAAGTATGACTATTGTAAAGAAAAGACTGTTTATTATTATTATTTTGAATAAATAAATAATATTGTTATTAAAGAAAACGTGACATATGTCCTTTGCTGTTAAATTCTTTTTAAAAAAATAATGTGTTCATTAGTCATTAAGATTTGCTTATTAAAATTTTTTAGCATTGGAATAGAGGTCAATTGGGCCTAGCAATGTAAAAAACGTTTTGTTGTAAAAAAAATTACAATAAGGTTGATTCAAAACAAGCTAGGCTAAGTACAAAAAATGATAATAATACAGGGCCAAATTAAATTTAACTAAGAAACAAGCACTGTATCAATTACCCAAAAAAAAAATATCTCAGTAACACTTACCGTATGAATTGCAACCAAATCAGAATCTAATTCTTCTGCAAAATCAAATCAGCAAATCTAAAATCTCTTATTACAAAACAAATCTCCATTACAGTAAAAAAATTTTGCAACAGAATCAATCCAAAATCAAATCAGTAAAAACCCCAAATCAATTAGAATCATCCAATCCCTAATTCTAAGACAATCAATCCCTAAATTTGTGCTAATCTAACCTATAACAGAAATTCAAACCCTAATTTTAAAAGATATATAAACTAATTGAAGAAAATACAGAGAGGGGGGACGGAGCTCGATACAGAGTAGAATCGCGAGGAGACTAAAAACGCATAGGAGAAGAACAACAACAATACGAAGAAGATGAGGACAACTTCGAGATATAGAGGCCGGATTTGAGAAGAACAAGAAGAACAGAAGAGGACAGAATGAAACCACGAGAGGACCGCGAAGCTTGAAGAAGAATCGTAATACTGGTGCATAAGAAGAACAAGAGCACCGATTGGGGTTTCGATCTCTGAAACCCTAATCGGCCTCGCTAGCCACTGCCGCTACCATGCTATCATCAATCCTCACCGCAACTTGCAAACACACGGATAAGAAAGGGGATTAGCTCAAACCCAAATCGGACAAAGCAAGTCAGAATCGAAATCGTGCAGAAGGTTAAACTTAGCTTATCTCTTTTTTGTTGTTGATTTTGGGTTTTTGAGATTTGGGGTAAGGGACGATGTGCCGCCGCGAGGTTACTGTATTAGGGTTTGGAGTAAGAAGAAAAATATCCAGATTAACAATTATCATAGTGAAGGAATCTTAAAGAAGTCGCGATCAATTTCTCCAAACGCGAAGTCCACTGCCCACTCACAACCGCTCACCTCCACGCCAAGATTCGCCCTCTGAATCGCGGACCACCACCTTGTCGCACAACCTCTGACGAAGAGGCTTCTGACGACTACCCCACACACGCTGGAGATTCACGTTAGAATTCTTTCCTCTGTTTAACTGATTCCATTTTGAATATGTTGTTTGTGTTTTGAAATTAAAAGAATTTTGTTTAAGGTGATTGATTGTCTTGATTTTGTTGTTCATGGAAGGGTATGGGTAAAGAAAGGGTCGATGAGAGAGATGAAAAGGGTGGGTCATGAATTTGATCCTCATTTTATGTTTTAATATAATATTATATATATAACTTATGCTTTTGTCATTCATTATAACTATTTTTTTTTAACATAATAATTAAATTACTCTTTTATACTTTTGTTTATGAATAGATAGCCGCCGCATTGCGTTTGTATTCTGTGACCTATATCATATGGTATTTTAATTTAGGTTTCATCTTTAGTTTACATGTTCATTTACTTGGTTGAGTTTTGTGGGACCTAACTCATTCACGTGGGTTTAGGTTTTGTTAATGTTTTCATTGAATAAAGTTAAGTTATTAAAAGAACAAACGCAATTAATTTTTTTTTAAAGAAACAAATTTACAAATATATTAATTAGGGAACATTTGTTTGATGAAAAAAAGTGAGCTTGAGTTAAGTAATTTAGTTGATTAGTTCTTTTCTCATTCATTAGATTAATTTAGTTTAATTAGTGTTATAACGAAAAAATACAAAAATTCAAAAATAGACTTTTATTATATTAGAAAATTTTAATATTTTATATTAAAATATTAAAACATGCGCGATTCACCAAATCACTAAATCCGCAAGCGACACGTGGCTATTATCTGGTCACGTGAAGAGGAGGCTATATCAGACTCCTTTGTTCTACGTATAAAAAATATTCAACCAAACATCAAATATTTTTTCGCAAATTAAATTAATTCGAACAATTAATTTTCAGAAAGGAATATGAATATATTTAAATTAATTGCGCACTTGGTCTAACAAACTCCGCCATTCACACTCTTAGACCACGTATGCGGGAAATTCAAATACATTTCACGATCCATAAAAAAACACAATCCAACTACGAACTACGAATTGGGACTCTGATTCCTCATAAGAGGATACGTAGACATACGATCAAAAATCGTAGCGAGTTCCCTTATAAAAATATTTAAACCCTTTACCCTAATTAAAATTTAAAACCCTATTTTACCCCAACCTAAACCTAAAACCTAGTATCCGTGTGAACAAGGTAGATGAAAGGTGCCTAACACCTTCCTTTCGTCTAATAAAGTATGAAACCTAGAATCTCTTTCTGCGAATTAGGGTTTCCTATTGGATGCCCTTCCCTATGATAAAAACTAATAGTGGCGACTCTGATTTAAAAACTAGTCGCAACAATTGGATATCATATTCAGTTGGGATCATTTACCATCGGGCTATCCTTCCGGAGAGAGATGGCTTCTCGAAGATGTACTTAATGGGATCCATCTTAGAGATCAATAGAGTGGTACGAGTCAACATATACTGTCTTAGTCGGCGAGCATCCCATGCCAAAGGGCAACAAGTTTTCTCGAGCAGTGAATATCTTATTTCGCAGTCGGTAAACTTTTTTCTAAGGTAGTATATGAAGGAAAATTGCGACCAAAAGCGCAGCGGAATAAAAATTTTCCTTTAGCGATCCTTACGAATGAGCATGGTCAGTGATAGAAATATTTACCTCTTGTGGCGATTCAGATCTTTGATGTTGTGATCACGAGCGTTGATGAAGAACAACGCCTCTACTCAGTCCACACGAACAGATCGCTTTCGGTCACAGTGCTAGCTGATCACGAACGGAAACCTTGAGTTAGAGAGAGAGAGTCAAAAACGAAAATGCATCAAGTGAAATTGCTTCATCACAAGGGATCTATTTATAGAATCACTCGTGTGGGCTACAAGATAAAAGCCCAATTAAGGCTATAAGCTAAAAGCCCAATTAAGCTTATGAACATCATACCTTATGATGTACCATATATCACTTATCCACGTGGTACCTTACCATTTTCCGTATTACACTTAAGTGCACCGTACCTTACGGTGTTCCTTATTTATTCTATCTCTCATCAACCTGTCCTTATGTGTGTGACCCTGTAGGTTTTCGCGACGTTGGCAATTATATTAAATCACACATTTAATATAATAAACAGTGAGCGGTATCTAGCAACACATCACTGTTATCCAAGTCACGAAAATGTCATGTGATCTGACCAAACCTTTTCCGTGATAATATTTGTGTTGTACAATTACCCTTTTGCCCTCATGTCTATATTGAACACAAGGCATACACTGTGTCACCCTTGTCCAGTTCAATATTGGGCCCTTAGACATTTATCCTGTTATGCAAGATGAGCAAATTCCATCTAGGTCACTCATGTCCCTTAGCATGCTTTGTGAAGTACCCATCAACCGTCTTTACAGTCATCCAGTTACGGATGACGTTTGATCAGCAATAAAGTACTTGACTTTACATCTAGGGTCCATAGTGGTTTCAGGTCGAAGGGTGGTATACACCATTATCATCATGAGAATAACTTATGACACTTTGCATAACATTCTATGTAGTATTCTCATAGCGGGTCAATCCAGTATAAATATTACTCCTAATATTCATACCTATGTCAAGACTTGATAACTCCTTATCTATGATCCATGAGATGTGATCATCAATCTATCTTCATAATAATCTTAATGCTTTAATGCTATTCCACTTCACATTAAAGCTTGACTACAGATACTTTAAGAATAGTGTCTTATGTTTAATGGGATCTCATGATTAAGTCACACTTAACATTTCATTAAACAAATAAACCATTCTAGGGATCCTTATTATTTTGGAAAGCAAACATAATAAAGAAATGCCTTTTATTATTAATAAATAATTAGATACAAGTACCAAAAGTATTGGCCTCTAGGGCTTACACCAACAGTATATTGCATGCTCTTTTCGACCAGACTCATCATGCTGCCCCAACACACACCCTATTAAATTCTCTAAAATAGTTAAGTACATGATCAGAGGTCTTCCTTCAACTGGTGGCATCAAAATTGGAGGTTCTTGTAGGTACTCTTTGATCTTGTCAAAAGCCATTTTGTAGTCATCGTTCCATCTGACTACTTGGTCTTTCTTCAATAGCTTGAAAAGTGGCTCACAAGTAGCAGTCAGGTGAGAGATGAATCAGGCAATGCAGTTTAGTCGTCCTAGAAAACCTCTAACCTCCTTCTTAGTACGAGGAGCTGACAATTCTTGGATAGCTTTGACTTTTGTAGAATCTACTTCAATTCCTTTGCCCCTGACGATGAAGCCTAAGAGCTTTCTAGACCTTAACCCGAAGATGCATTTCTTGGGATTCAACCTCAGCTTATATTTCCTCAGCCTCTCAAATAGCTTGTGTAGATGATCAAGGTGCTCTCTCTCAGTTTGGGATCTTGTTATCATGTCATCCACATAGACTTCTATCTCATGATGAATCATATCATGAAATAAAGCCACCATATCCCATTGATAAGTTGCTCATGCATTATTCAGCCCAAAAGGCATGACCTTATAACAGAAGGTGCCCCACTGTGTGACAAAAGTAGTCTTCTCCATGTCTTCGGGCGCCATTTTGATTTGGTTGTAACCCGAGAAACCATCCATGAAGGAAAATACCTTGTGTTGAGCAGTGTTGTCAAATAAGACATCAATATGCGGTAGTGGGAAGTCGTCTTTGGGGCTTGCTATATTTAAATCCATGTAGTCTACATACATACGAACCTTACTGTCTTTCTTCGACACTGCAACAACATTTGCAATCCACTAGGGATACGACGTCACTGCCAAGAGACCTGTATCGAACTGTTTCATTACCTCAATCTTGATCTTTTCGGACATGTCGGGGCGCATGCGACGAACCTTTTGTTTGATCGGAGAATAACCCTCTTTCATTGGTAGATGATGAACCACGATATTAGTATCAAGCCCCGACATGTCCTCATATGACCATGCAAATACCTCAACATAGTTATGCAACATCTGAACCAATATGCTCTTGACACTATCTTCTAAGTTGGTGTCGATCTTGACTTCTTTCTTATTTGCCTTAGTACCCAAGTTTATCACTTCGACCGGTTCTTCATGCAGTTGGAAAGCCTTTTCCTCTTGTATCAGGAGTCTGGCGAGTTCTCCAGGTATCTCACAATCTTCTTCACCTTCGTCTTCGGCTTGATAAATTAGATTTTCGAAGTCATAAACGACAATAGCGGATTTGTTGTCAATAAGATCCGGAGTGGATGTGGATCTGCAAATGTGTGTGTGCACGTAAGGTCACATGGCTATTTGAAAATGCAGTAAAGTAAAAGAAAGACAAAGAGCACAAAATTTGAATGCAAAATCGTCCAATGTTTTCATTAAATGAGCATATGATATATGAAATGACAAACCCTTAACAAAAAGACCATTATGCCCCGGGCAAGGCACGTGGTTTAAAGTCATTATTTTTGAAGGAAATTATACAGACAAAGTTCTTAAAGCAATAAAAAAACAGGAAATAACAATTACTCCTAGTTGAAGGAGATGGATATGAAGTCTTTGGTCTTCCAGTTGTTGAGTCCACCATCAGCAGTTGGGAATATCCAATCGTCCAAGTCGCCATCACTGTCGGTGTCTTCCAATGCATTGACTTTATTATTGCTAATACAGAGAGGTGGTCTACCAGCACGAGCATGTCGAACCTCTTTCTAAACCTTTGAAGTAAAACCCAACCCAAATTTGTCAGATTTATAGGGAATATCAGGAAGTTAACCCCAGATAGTGCAGCTTCCATCTTCTACAATAACCCTAGCATCCTTCAGAGATGCCATTCTTGGTGTGTGTTTAGAGATTTCAAGAGTAGCAGAAGTTGCAACAGTAACCATTGGAGGGATTAACTCAAATGCTTGGCAGGGGTTTCCAATAATTTCGCCATCCATTTCAACGTGTTTGAAAGAATTCAAACGACTGACCATATATTCTTCCTCTCCACAGGCTGTGACAACCTTTCCTTTCACTAGTTATTTCAGCAGTTGATGTAATGTAGAAGTAACCGCATCTGCCCCATGAATCCATGGGCGTCTGAGCAAGAAAGAATAGACTGGGCGGATATCCATTACATAAAATGTCGAAGTGAAGACTTGAGATCCCACCTTGATCGGGAGATCAACTCTGTGGACCATTCTTTTTAAACCATTGAAAGCTCTCACCATAATATC